TCTCTGCAGGTGTCAAAGACATCATAAAGAGCATGCTCCTGGGAGGTTTAACATTTGGCATATATAAGCCCAATGGACTTACTCATACATCTTTTATCAACAGAAATGCCAAGTTTGTTGTTTGTTTTATACACAATTTCATTACAACACATCGTATTCTTGCAGTTTATCTAGATTTTATTGTATTTTTAAATGACTGTAGACAAGATACTTAACAGACTTTTGTTAATCTCCACTTTTTTAGTAGATGCATGAGGTGAACCACTTCTGCCTTCCTTGGAACCTGGGGCTGCTGCATTTTGCTTAAGCAGGGAAGGATAATTCCTATCCTGCAAGATGGCTCTGGAGCCAGGTTCTCGGCTGCTCATCTTGCCTCAGTCACTCAGGAAAATTCAATGATACAGAAAGTCATCCTTCCAAATAATGCAGGTGTCAGAGGTCTATGTAAGAGGAAGGCTTGGCAGAATCGCTTGTGGAAATTTACACAACATCTGCCCACACAATGGCTGGACAGTACTGTCTTTTCTTCAGTTGTCAGGTGCATTGGAATGTGTATAGAAGAAAACCCAAAGAAAATAGTAGATCCAAGATTCTAATGCATGAATAAAAGGCAGTTAGTGTTGGAAATATGAGCCATGAGTTATTTTGCAAGCAATTTTTCTTGACTCTTTTCTTACCTGCTGTCTTGCAAGAAGGCATTTTGCATTAATTGAGACTTTAAAGAAAGAAGATATTATCATATTTTAGTAACATTATCTGTTAATTTTGTCTTTATTTAAACTTTTGTCAGGGAAATTTGCCTTTCTGACCTTAAACTTGAGGTTAAGCCTGCACTTATGATACACATGTAAGCAATGGCTTGATTTTACATTGTAGAAACATGGCTGAAACTAAAGAAGAGCACTGTTCCTGTGAGAAGCATAATACTGAGAGGGAATTCTCTGAAGAGGGAATGCACTATTTGTTCTGCTGTTCCTATCTCTCTCAGCAATTGAATTTCAACACCCTCTTCATGCTTAACTTATTTTTTGTCCTGGCTTCTAGATACATTCCTCCATGGTCACTTAGCATTGTCTGGTATCATCTTACCATCATACACGATTCTTTACAGACAACTATTATCAGCTTTACGCTCACTTATTCTCAAATTAGTGCCATTATTGTGGTGGATGAGCTAAGAACTGTGCTGCTCTTGGTGTCTTCTAAGTATCACATTTCTCCTGGGCCACGCATTCAATATGGGATGGTAAAAGTCACATTCCTCGCTAAGTTTCGCTACTGTCTAATGAGACCAGTCTGTGTCACCTTTCTGTGTGGAAATGCTGGCCGCTGAAAACACCTGTTCAATCACCCAGTTCATATTTCTGTCAGTGTAAGGGAAGTCCCTGTTGTACATTTACTAGTAGCCTATAAAGAGTCAGTTTTTGAGGTAATTTGGATCCTAATCTTGCCATCCTGATTTGATACGCTTGCTTTATGTCCATTTTGTCCTGCTACAAATGACTGTACAAGGCATAAAGCAATGATGAGAACTGTCTTTGGGGACTAGCTGGGGTAAGGGCTGAACACTGGGATGAGAGGAATTGGGAGGCAGCATGCCTCCTTCAGGTCCTGACAGAAGAGCTGGTAATGTGACACATATACTTTGTGCAAGGACTTGTCCTCCGTGGCAGATGCATTCCTGCTTGCTTACTGGAGGCTTGTTGAGCTTCTCTGTTGCCCTTCATCTAAATAATGATCTCAGTGCCTCCAGTGTTTGAAAATTTCAGTATGAACTTTATGCATATGAAAAATCATCTTTAGTTATGTAATCGTGTGATGATCACGTATGTTCTTTGTGGTCAGAATAAGTGCACTTTATAGGATTGATTTTACCTAGAGGGAAGAGAGCTTATTACCCCATCCTGCCAATGGAGTGCTACGGAAAATCAAGTGCCATAGAAAACTGTATGTTGTATTGTCAAGTCTTACAGTTTTATTTCAAATCTAATGATATTTGATATTTTTAATCCTCCGTTATTTAAATCAAGGGATACTGCAAGAATCTGAGCATTCCTTTTAAAAAAGAAACTTTCAAAATCTTCCAGTGTGCCAGGAGGGATTGAAAATTAGGAGACAAGAAAGGATGCTGCATATACCCCTTGAAAAATCTTATACCTTGTGATTTTCCAGCTTTAATTCACAATTTTTTAAAATTTGGAACAGCTGATGCTATTTCTGTCCTTTTATGGTGCTGCCATTTAACCCAGATGGTACTCTGAGGATAGCCTCTCTGGCAAAGGAGAGTCTTTAAGATATGAAGCTCATTTTTGGGCATGCTTGGCCAAATGGGACGGGGAGCCTTTGCTGAGAATTTCAGACACAACCACAATAAAAATAATAAATAAATGAGGCATCTCGTTCTACCCAGAGATACTGTACAGGACTGCTGTTAAAGTGCACATTTGCAAATAAAAGCAGCCTAAATTTAACTATGACTCAATTACACTAAATCTGACCCATTTTTGTTCTGTGTTTCAATTTAACACTTATTTACATTCCTGGACTTGGCGCTGTTGGAAGAGAAGGGAGGGGGAGAGGGCATTTTCATCCTCAGAATTGCTATTAAAAAATGATGATTAGGAAAACACAACTATAATCAGCCTGAAGCTGGGTAGCTCATTTGAACCCACTATAAAAGATCGTTTTCTCTTCCTATTAAAACTCAGTTAGCAACGGCTGCGTAGGCGGCAGGAGATCAGAAATGAACGTCCAACTTGGAGTCCGTACAATTGGGGTCGGGTCCAAAGCAAACTGCCTGATTAGTGAAACAATTTGTTTTTTACAGTGACAGCAAATAGGTAAATCTTGTGAGTGTCAGGAAATCCTGAAGGATTTTGAATGGGAGCACTGACTGGTTTGCAAGTTGCACTTTGATTAGGAGGCATCGTTGCCTCTGCTTTTCATGCTCATGTTGCAAGGACATAAACAAGAGGGACTCAATTTGTTACAGGCATTTATTTCTCTGCCTCTCTCTCTCTCTCTCTCTCTCTTGTTTTTACAATCTATGTGTAATGACTAATTGGATGTGTTTTCCCAGCTATTTTATGTTTCTTTTGCCCTGGTTACAAGTCGTACTAAACCAGTATATCCACAGGGACCTATAGATTGCCAGCACTGCCAAACGATACGCAGCATTCCCCTTTCTCTCTAAGTGTAAAACATTTACAAGTAAATTTACAAATGCATTAAGAACATTTCCTCCGTTGGCTGTTAGTGTTTATTTCTTCCCCTTCTCCTCCCGGGAGCGGACACCTTCCAGCCTCTCAACTTTCACACACTGCTCTCCCGTTGCCTCCTTCCCCCCGCTCCCCGTCGCCCCTTTCCCTCCTCTCCCTCCTCCTCCTCCTCCTTCTCCTTTTCCAGTTCAGCGGCGCAAATTTCTGTTTGTGCCAGTGGGGCGGCCTGGCGAGACCGCAATTGCTCTACCCCACAGATTGACGAGCCCTCAGATGCCGATTTACTGTACATGGCAGCCACGCTGGAGCCGCGGCACATCTGGAGTGGAGTAAGCTTACTCAGAAACAGGGGCCAGCTCCAGCCGGAGCCAGCGGAGCTGAGCGCGGCGCTGAAAGGCAGCCCTCCTGCCTCCCCTTCCCTCCTCCCCGGGTACATTTCCTAATGTAAACAGAGGCCAGGGGGGAAGGACACAGTAACTCTTTGCTGCGTGTTTGTCATTTCATGTTCTTTATCTGCTTGAGGTCAAACTGGAGCTCTGGAAAAACAGAAGCTTTGCTTTTATTCTAAATAGCTGAAAGCCAGCGCTGCTGAAGGGGGAAAAAAAAAAAGAAAAAAGAAAAAAAAAAAGAAAGAGTTTGCTTTTGTGTTTATTTGTTCCACTTTATGGTAATTTGGGGGATAATTTCATTATCTGCAGCCAAATTGAAAACAAGCTGTTGTCTATGCTAATGATAACAGCGTATTATTTTATGTACAGTAGGCGTAGAGCCCTTTAAACCACAAGTGGACTGGATTTCTGCTTACAGCTGTACTACTTTAACATTTTTTTATAGTCACAAAATGAGACTTTACTTTTATTATCTGGAAACAAAAAAGATTACGGATGGCTGCTTTGTTTTACAAAATGGTGAATACCTTTCAGGGCCCGATGCCAGCCTGCTGTCCCACAAATGCATTTTAGCTATGTTAGTGCAAAGGAAAAGCATGCTCGTTCTGGGGCAGATATGCTGATTTTATAGTCCAGTTTGCTAGACTGATGAATTTTAATCTCTGTGAAAAAGTAGGAAAGATTTTTGAGGCATTTACTGACTGTCAGCAGTCTGGAAGAGGACTCTGTGATTCTTTACAAGTTTTATATAATTTTTATTTCTTCTTTCTAATGGTAGAATGGTACAGTTTGTAGGTTAGTTGTTCAGGTGAGGTTAAAACCATAAACATGCAATTTAAAATGGCTTTTCCTACTCAGTATTCCTTCCAACTCGATGGATTTTGCAGTGAATAAAGGAGAGAAAACAAATATTGATCAGCACATGCTTTTCTAGGGATGTTGGTTCACTGTCACCTCTCAGTTCACGGGCCATGCTCAGTACTTTAGCTTTCTGGTGGATTGAATTCCAGGTAAGTAGGTTGCTCCCATGAGTGTCAATGAAGGCAAACTTACCTATCATGTAGGAAAACTGGGCAGCAAGTGCGGCTGGACAGCAGTTCTTGCACCTTTGAGGTTCAAAGTTTCAGTAGTGCATTCCCCAGCCCTTCAAAAGGCTCTTATGATTGCTGTTGTATGTTCTGTGTTGATATACCATAATACTTATATAAGAGATAGCAATATAGGTTTCATATTTCTGTATTACTGTTTTTAATGGATAGTTGGTTTTAGTAATTTCTTCACTAAAAAAAAAAATAAATTGTGTTTTCTCTTACTTTCATGGTCCTTCAGATCCCAGTAGGAAGGGGCCAAACATAAACAATGTTGGCCAGATCTCAGCCTTCTCACCAAGGGAAGTAGTGAGCATTACCTCCTTGTGGCTGCTTAGAAACCACTCAAGGTGAAATTCAGTAAGGAACGGACTGTATGCATGGCAAAGGCGTTGGAAAGACTGAATCACACATCTCCAAGGTCTGTAACAACCTTTCTGTGCCTGAAATCAGAAACAGCATCATGGGTACAGGGACAAATACAGGGATGCTATACCACTTTTCATGATCTAGGTAATTACTGAGGTAGATAAAATGGTTTCTTTGGGGTGAAATGATTTATTTGGAAAAAAACCACGTCTACACAGAAAAGCCGATGAAACCAGTCTCAAAAGCAAAGCTGTTTGGGAAACTTTGGCACTTGACTGAAATCTAAACTTTTTTCAGGGACAGTTGGATTTTGGCTAAGTTCTGCAAGCCTGCAGGGCTCTGGCTGGCAGACCATTGCTCAACCTTCTGACTGCCAGGGTTGAGGATTGATGGCCTGTCATTGCAGGATGGCCCACCAAGTAGTCTACCTTTGAACTAAAGACCTCAGGGCTTCCAGGTTTCAAAACTGGGACAACATTTGTTTTGAAACTTTTTTTGATATGTTTTGGTATGCATTGGAAATATTTTGATTTCGATGAATTACCAAATACTGACCCCAAAAAGTGTTCCACAGGAGTTTTTTTTAACAGCTCTATTCCAGTCTAAGTTTAATGACTCTGAGGGGAAAAAAAAGTTTCTCCATAAAGTTGAAACAAACCAGAATCCAGTGAATGAGTCTGAAGCAGGATTTCTCTGACCCCTCCTTACTGTGATCCCACTGGTGTCCTTGGTCCTCCAATAGATTGGTCTGGGCTCAGTTACACAGTTCTTGTCTTAATTTTAAACGTGAAATTCTGATATGTATGGTTTCCCTCCCCCTCTCCCCCCCTTTCCATTTAGTGCACGTTTGAAATTGATTCGAACTCCTTGTTTTGCACTAATGCCAAAACTGTCCATAGGGTCTAGAAATGAAATCTTCTTGGTAGATGACTATGCATCCTACTGATTATGCTATTGTTATTATATTAATAGCATATTCTAAAACTTAGGCAATGTCCAGGTGCAAAACTCTCATTCAGCAGTACATAACTCTTTCATCTGCCATTTCTTGCCAGTAGATTTCCTGCCCATATGAATGTTTCTTGTGAAATTTCTGGAGAATAGCTGTTGAAGTTTTGCCAGATGTAAGAAAACAAATACACAAACAACCCCTTTCCAAAACTCAACAACCTCCCCCTGTCCCAGTCCTCTCTCTTAGAAACTTCATAGTCCTCTCTTTTAGAACATCTTCATGGTAGATGTTCTACATCTAACAAAAAATACCAGTTGTGAAAAAATAAGCATTGTGGATTAATGCTGCAAAGGTAAAAGTAAACGCTTTACTAGAGTGGTGCCAATAATGTCCCCACAGAGTGCCTGTGTAGAGGTATGCTCTTTTGGCTCACGTGGGTGCCTCACTTTAAATATGTGCCCTTGCCTGTTCTTACTCAGTCATTCACTCTGTTAACACTTCTTTGGAATCCTGTCCAGATATACTAGGTTTAAAAGACAATTGGCCTTGGCAAATAATATTCAATTTTTAGAGAAGCCTTAACTCATTTTTTTTTTTTTTAGGTAAACATAACTTTGGGATCTACACACATGCTAAAACAGTGGTGAAACCTGTGGACTCATTCAAAAACTAGATTTATTCCAGTAGGCTCATGCTTTGTGACCATCATCCAGAAATGAAGACAGAAGAGCACTTTGAGAATCTGAGGGGATTTAAGGGTTTGAAAAGTGTGTCAGTAGGTGTTAGTCTGCAAAAACATATGTGTGTGGGAAAAGGGCAGTTACACTAACCCAGCTATTATTAGTGTACTTTAAAAGGCCATAGATCTCTTTAACATCTAAATAAACTGAGAAATCTGCCTAGAAGTAAAAAAGGAATTTCCAGTTTCAAGTGTGTTATTTCCTCTCAGTGTGATTATTTACAGTATATCCCTTCCATGTTTTTTTGCAAAATGTTATTGACAAGATTATGACAGATGCAAAAATCAAACACCAACATTTGCAATATTTTTGACCCCAGGATAAACTGTAAAAAATTATCCTATTGTACTTTCTTTGCTTGCATTCGGTGTTTTGTTTTGTTAATGCAGCAAAGGATTCATTGAACTGGAGCCTGCCATTTGTTATTGGCATTTCTCAGAAGAGTAAGAACAGTCGTCAATTAAACATTTTTCCAATAAAACCATGAAATTATTATGTAAATGTTCAGATTATGATTCCACCCCAAATATATATGTATCCTAAAAATAAGCTACAATAAATGTTAGACTAAGCAAAAATGAAGAACAGCAAAAGAATGAAGTCGATGAAAAAAAGGAAAAAAAAGTAGAAAGAAAACCACAACAATAAAAAATGCAGGCATTAAGTAATATAGTGGATGTGAAAAAAATGCTTCAAGATGAAGTTATGAGAGAGACAAAGGAAACTATTCACAAAATTATTGCAAAAGCGCAATTTATTTTTACCTGGCAGGTGAAATTGTGATCACAGTCACTGCAGTCAAGTCAGGTATCCTGAAACACAACACAAAATAACTAAGGGCTTTTAAATATGCAAGATTAAAGAAAGATTGCAATGAATTTCAGCGATCATCAAATGATGATTTAATAACTGTGTCAGGCCAGACTTTTTTCTCTATTAAGTTTAAATTGAGTTACACAAGTAAGAATGGCAGTGTTGTAAAGAATTATCCCCTTCTCTTCTGAAGCAAGAAATGAGAGCTGGAAGCTCTGTTTTTGTGAGGGAAAATCTAATTCATTTGGGATCAAGTTTGTGTTTTGAACCTCTCTGAAAGAAAGATGCATTTTGGCTGGGGCTCTAAGCTGGACTAATCTTAATTCTGTTGTCCCAAACTAAGAAAGTATACTGGTCCACTTATGCAGAGAATAATTAAAATTGGTGAGTCTAAATGTGGTGTTTTTTAGTAGATTCAGCCCCATGAGAGGACTCAGTTGTATTTTTAGGTGAACACATGCAGCCCTCATTAATCACTAAGGATCGTACAAGTGCAACAGTGGGCAGAGAGGGACTTTTTATTTTTCATTAATTTCTTAAAGTCCAGTTGTAGTATGAGTATGTTCCTCATTAGTAACACCACTACTATATTGCTTTTCCAACAAAACTTGCAAAATATTACGTTACTTTTTGGTCTGCTGAACTGCTGAACTACTGAACTGCCAGTTCCTAACAGAAAGGAGCTGTAACTGAATCGCTAGTAAAAGGGCCAGGAAATTAGATAAAAGGGTAGCACTGGTTTTACATGCCTAAATGAAAAGGTGTTAGCTTCAAATATATAGCCTTTTAATATATTGTCCAAAAATACAAAAGTGCCTGACTTTTGTTATTGAAATGCTGCACTAAATTTACTGACCACGCTCCTGTGTTTTGCAATGGCTTAGTTCATGTGATCAAAAATTAAGGTGAAAATTCCTTATATCCTGATAGGCACCATTATGTCTTTGAAAATTAAAAATCTTAGGGCTTGCATGGCTGCAGCATGATTATTGGGCGGACAAAGCTTTTTTTCTGGTAAGTACATAACATTATTTGGAGGAAGCCTGCATTATAGCCAGATAAATACCCTCGCTCATGCTGCCCAGAAAACTGTGGTAGGAACAGTTATTGAAACATATAACAAACATTGTGGAGAGAAGAACCTTTTGAACCTCCTTCTTTCTGGTAGGGAGGAGGAGTTGTAAAAGCAGAACAGGCTAAGTCAGACGGGAATCCTCCCACCTAGCTTTAACCACCTGTGTTAAGTGTACCCATTTTAGGTTTCCTTTACAATCAGTGGAGGATGAGAGGTCTCCAGAAGGTGAAATGTATTTTGGCTTCACATTGTCAGCTGCTACAGTGTCTCTCTCTCCATTGACTGTAAAGGGCACTTTGGGGTCCTACAGCCCACGGGTGGCTGCTCAGATTTAAGTGGGATGAAACTGGGCCATCCAGTATAGACTATAAATGAAAGACATATTATTACAGAACTACATAACAAATGGAGTTCTTGGTCCCATTTAGAGAAAACCAAGTTTTAAACTTCTCTAAGGCCAAAGTCCGCTGCTAGGAGGGGGGGAAGAAATAGGAAAGAGAATGCATCCTGGGTGAAGAAATAAAACATTTTCTCAGATGCTTTCTCAATAGTAATGTGCTTCAGGCTCAGGATGTTGCTTCATTGTCAAATGGCTGATCTTTCCTTGTCATGCTTTCCTATTGTTCTCCATTCCTTAAATAATCCTGGCTTTCAGCTGCATTTTTAATCCATTTAATTCATTTTCAACCCCCTAAAAAACAGAGATTAGTTTAGTAGATCAGAAATGAGTTAGAAAAAAGGTTGCATAATGGACCTAGTTTAATTTCACAGTTGCTACTTGCCTTTGCATAGTAATAACGATGCAGTTAATAGTTTCCACTTTATTTAGCTGCTAAATTCTGTTTTGTTTCAGAAATCAACTCCACTGCAGTAACTACATTGTTCTTTGCTCATTAATCTCTATTATTTGTTCTTCTTTGAATTGTTGTGAAGTTTCAGAACATGGGTAGTTCTCTGGCAGAGAGAAGAACGTGTTGATCTATTAGACCTTTTAGGCTCTATGATTTAGACAAAGTAGTGCTATTATGATGGTTTACAGACTTTAGTGGCTCATTTTAGGGTTTCATTGTGCAGTCCATGATATCACAGCAGCTCTTAGGCAGAATTCCATTGCTGCAATTTGTTCTGTAAAAGAATAGCATGGTACTAGTTGTTATACAGTCAGTATCTGTCCATAGTTTCCAGACCACTATACTTACAGGTAAATCAGAAAATAAAGAGGTGATTACAATTAACATCTGAGGTTAATTGTATTTTTAAAAATATTTCTAAAAATTGCATTAATACAGTATATGCCTTTATGACACTTTTTACTACTACAGACTGCTGCAACAAACTTCTTGAATTGAGTCTTGTATGATTACAAGACAGGCAGTAGAAGATATGTAAATACTTGTAGAAATACTATAGTATTTTTCAGCAAAATACCAGTCCAGTGCAACAATTACAGATGGAAGTGTTGAAGCAGATTATTCTATCATCTTAATATTTATATAGGTATTCCAATTTAAAGTGAACAAAGAATGACTTTTTTATCTCTTCCTGTGTTTTTAAAAAAGGCTTGCAGTTAATATCTCACTAAACATGTAGGGAAAATCTCCCAGGATTTTCCTTTTGCTCTGATTTCATAATCAATAAATTCCTGTAGAGCAAATGCTTTATTTAAATTTCATCCATTAGGTTCCCTGCAACCCACAGTTCTCGATCACCTTTTCTACTAAGTGTAGTTGCTACATCTGGTGTTCAGTGGTCATAACTATAATCTCTCTCCCTATATCTCTTTAATTTGATGTTTCCTGTGATGGAGCAGCTCTTGATGCTACATATGTTTCATTTAAGATATTCTGTGTTTCAGTCAAGTGTATTTGCTGTGTTTGCATTGTCTTTAGGGTGTCAAAGAACTACAATAACAACAACAACAACAACAACAACAACAACAACATGTTGACTTGATGTGACTTGTTTGAGCTTCTATATAGAAAACATAGCAGAAGAATGTTATTAATTATTTCTATATTCATTAGCAGGACTTGTCTCAATGAAATTGCTTACAGCATTTATATGTTTTTCAAAATATACAAATTGTGGTAGGTACCAGACTTATCTCTGGGATCTACTGCACTACTGAGTAGCTCTCAGACCATCTGGGTTGGACTGTGGTGTCCCACTGAGATGGTATTGTGCCTCTTTGCCCAGGGAATTTGGACTCTGGCTAGCACAAGACCAGAAATATGATAGTTTAATGCCCAAAGCTGTAGTCTGCTCTTCAGACTAACAGCCATTGGGCACACCACTGAGTGAATTTAACTTACCCAGACTGGTTGTCTTATCCTTTGTGTGTTTATTTAAATTTGTAAGATGCTTCCTGAAAAAAAAAAAAAACTTTTATGAGGGGTCTGTATACATTAAGAATCCAGATATTTTTTGTCTCTGAACTCTCAGGAGAGCGCACCCAACTATTTGAATATTTGTGAGTGAACTCTAACTGCACAAACATGAATTCAAGTTTAATGAAAAATTTACTGGCGCTTATATGGGCAATATTTGCGTGTTGTCACACCTTCAATCACAGCTCTGCCTGTATCATTGGTTCAGAACAGTAGTTCAGACTGGCATAAGAAATAATCCAGAGTCATTCAACATGGGTTGCCACTGTGGGATAGTTTAGTTGGTTTTCTCAGCATTTAGAAATGGTATTTCTCACCTCCTCCACACAAGCCTTTTCATTACCCTGCCAACTTCTTGAAGGGAAAAATAACTTCATCCCGGTTTGAGGTGTTTCAAAAGTTATGTGCGGAGAAACTTAGCCGGTCTTTTTTTTTTTTTTTTTTTTTTTTTTTTTTTTTTTTTTTTTTTTTTTTTTTTTTTTACAGGAATATTAGTTAAGGTATGCACTTCACTTCTAAATAAGCTACAATTCAGGAAGTATTTATGTAATCTCTCTACAGCAGGAATGTTCGGAAATACTTGCATTTGAAAATGTTGTTGCACCAGTACTTCTCAAAAACTACATCTGTGTGAAGAGCTTAATCTTCGGCGAAGTCCAAAAAGCTGTTGCCATGCTTGCAGCAGAATCTATTTTAGCATCTGAAAAAAAGATGTTTCTAGCTATCTTAGATTTCCAAAGTCCTTCTAGAGTGAACAGTGTGCAAGTGAGAAATCCTTCCAGTGAAGATGCCTGTAGAGATGTCTGTCTCTGCTGAATAGAAAAGAAGCACCTGTAATCTAAGCATCTTTCAGTAGATGTTTAGCTTTAAGACTTAGGAAGTTAGGTGACATGAATCCTTTT